AAAAAAAAAAAAAAATTCCTTCCGGAGACTAACTGAATGTGCCTCTCAAAGTCCACCTATGGATTTTTTTGTAATGAATCATTTGCTTATGAAATGCGTCAGGTACTTACTCTCGCGAGCAAGATCAGCTGGTTAAAACACTGACATGGAAACATCAGTTTTAACTATCAAGTGATTATTTCTTCTAATGATTCCCCACATATTTTAAATGCTTTTATTCCCTCCCAAGAACGGCGTAGTCGAATAATGTTCTTGGTGAATCCTTTAGGAATCACCCAGTCCAAGTATTCCATTCTTTCTTCAAATGAAATCAACTCATTACAAGCACAGACCGAGACTATTAATTTCTCCTTTGCACTTTGCCCTAGGGCCGAAGAAATGAGCCCCCATTCAGTCTCGTCGTCTGCTCGTTCCAGTGACCGCTTGGTTAAGAGCTTGTGCCTGAGCTCGCCTCTTCTACCAGAGGGAGACTATTCCCTGCTTCGTTCGGCGCTTTTCCTAGAGGTAGCCTGGATGATTCCAGGCGCCGAATAGCTCAGTGTCCATTTAATCATGGCGTTTGTAATTCAGTCTCCCCACCCGGACGGCTCGACACCTGAAAACCTGCCGCCCAAGGCTTTTGAAATCGGGTAAGCCTGGGCCAACACAAGGCGGCTAACAAGGCAAGGACACAAGAAAATAATAAAGCAGAACCTGCACCTGCAGCAAAGAATGATCTGGGAGCGAAGCCAGGCGCACCCCGCGCCCACCCACCCGCGCCTCGGGAAGCCCCTCCACCGCCGCCGCTCATCTCGGTGCTCGACCCCTAGGTTCAACGTCCCCTGGACACCCCACTGCCCCCGTAAGTCTCTTTTCCGAGCCGCTGCACCTTCCCCGATCGAATCTCCGCATGGCAAAAGAATTACCCCGTGCAATTCCGCCCGCATCGCCGCCAGTGCCGCAGCGCCCCCAAATAGCGCCCGCCCCCTCCCCCACGCCTCATTGTTCCCGGGTCGCTGCAGGCAGCGAGTGCCCCAGGGCTGGATTAGCAAGTGGACCCCAGGGACCGAGTGCCGCCCCACTCACCCGCAACTCCGCACAGAAGCACAAAACGCAGCAATAGGTCCATGTTGGCGGCCCGGCCGTGGGCGGCACTGCAGGTTGGCAGCTCTCGCCCCGGGTCTCAGCCGCCCCGCGCCTCGTCTGCTCCCGACTGGCTGGTGGCGACAGCACCTCGGTACCCGCCCGCTCGGCAGGTGTACGACGTCACTTCCGGTAGCACGCGAGCCTCAGTGGGCAGGGGCCAGGCTGGGCGCGTGGGGTTGCCATGGCAACCAGGATCCTTTCGCGGGCCACCTCTGGACAACCTCGGAGTTCCGTCACTGGGCAGGCAGGCCGTGAGCGGAGTTGGGGTGCGCTGGCCACCCCGTGCTCGATGCGGGGGCCAGAGCTCCTTTTTTGAGGTTCTAGTGGGCAGTGTGAAAAAGAGCAGCACCCGAATTTCCACAAGATCCCTAGGTCATGCTGATGTTGCTGGTACCTGAGCCACATATTAGCTTACAACACAGTCTAAGTCCTGGACCAGATATAATTCAGAGTGCCTGAAAGTATTCAGTTAAGATGAAAAGATACAAGGATTAAAAAGCCCTCAGTAGTTGGCACAGTCAAGCCCACAGCAGGTTTTTAAAAAATGACAGCTATCCAGTAATAGAATTTAGGGTGCCTATTGGAAATACTCTAAGAGGAAAGCCCTGCTTTCCAAGCAGAACATATTCAGGAGGAAACTTGTGACCTTGGAAAGTTCAGTTACATAACCATAGTGCCTTGCTCTCCCCTCATACAACCTTAGAACCACTCTTCCTCGACTGAGTAAGCAAAAAGCCCTGAGAACAGTATCTGGCATTTAATAATAGCTCAATGAAAGCCTTAATTTCTCTAATATTGTTAGGCTGTTCTACTATCACCGCCACTGTTATGATTAACAGTAGTGGTATGACTTGCAAGAAAGTAAGTTGGCAATAAAAATGCATTAAGATGTTCCACCAGCAAGCAGAATATACCGCAAAACCCACGGTTTTCACAACCCACCCAGAGACGGATATAGAGGTTACCTGTCAGCTACTGGATAGCAATGCAATCCTTATACCTTGAACTGTGAATGCAGGAGCCAAACATGTTGCCTCTCAAGTAGAGAGCATAGTAAATGAGTTTCTAAAATGTCAGGAAGTATCTAAAGAAATCCACAAAACCTTACAGGAGTTACATAGTTTTTGAATGGTTACCTACTGGGAAATAAGAATAAAAATAGGTGTCCTTTTTAAGCTGGAGATAACAGAATTCTAATGAGATGTTCTCTGTTAGCAGAACAATGCTACAGATATCTAAATATCCTTGGTTCAGATGATGCCTAACAAAATGAGATTCCCCCAAAATTGGGCTATCCAATTATATGGATAGTGGAGGTGTGTGGGGGGAAGGGTG